CCAAAAATCTAGTTTTAGGGTGTTTTTATGAATGATCCCCAGGCTAATGATGAAAATCAAAGAGCATCTGTAGGACATGCCATTGAGGACTGGCCTCCTTGTCCTGTTCTACATGACTAAAGCTAAGCTGCTGAAGTCTATGATGGAAGGAAAGAGCTGAGGAGCAGCACTTGCATGGCCAGGTTCATCTAAGTGAGGAGCCAGCGCATACTGTTCAGATATCGGGCCAGTCTCTGCCATTTCCTAGCTGACAAATATTTACCTGAGTCTTAAGCAATTTGCAGGAATGAGAAATGCAGAGAGGTATAGAAACCTGAGGGGTCAAGCCTAGGACAAACATACTAAAAATATTTGTCTAGTGCACTTGGAAAATCTTGTGTGTTACTCCACACTTCAGATGGTTATTCAGGTTATTCAAGTTCTAAGTACCCCATCTGACAAGACTTTGTAGGTTAATCACAAATGAGAGCATCTTATCAGTAAATGTAAAGATTAGTGTGAAAGGAGAAAGAAGTAGGGAGTGCCACCTGATTTGGAATGAGACAAAACAGGAATGCAGTTGCTCCCCCACTGCCTCCTCTCTATGGGCCACTCCAGGAAATGGCATGGCCCTGATGAGAAATGAACAGAGAACTGCAAATCCCTGCGATAGGCAGAAGGATTTGTCTGCACATGCAACCACTTAGTGCTGCAGCTGTGCTGACAGCTCATGCCCCAAATTCGGTAAATGATGACCGCGTCCCCTTCCTCACATGTCTGAAAGAGAAATACAGCTGCACGGGTGGCTGAGAGCAGCATCCCGTGCTGCTGTGGAAACTGAAGCAGAATCCTGAGCCCCTGAGTGATGCTAAAGCCATTCCCCTGTGCTAGAGGAGCAAGGGCTGCCTAATCTTGGAAAGGGACTTTGTGTTTCTGCTCCTGTGCCTCTCCAGATGTGCTTCTGTCTGGGGCTGTTTATACTCCAGCTCCGTGTGCAACACACTGAGATGTCACTTGGGAGCTTTCCCTGCCGATGCCGGCTGAGCTGCTGGCATGCTGCAGGTGTGTCGCACATGAGCAGATGGGGAATGGTGAGAGCAAGGAGAGACGATTCTCGCTCTGCATCTCATTTTGCTCGCAGCGGGGTTCACACTGTTTCTCTGTTACACCTGGTTAGCTGCGTGGAATTATCATTTCTAGTTCTACCAGTATCGGTCCTGGGGAATAGCATCTGCGCTGGCAATAAAGAAACATGAAAAAGGAGCCATTGAGGTTGCCTAGCAGAAAGGAAGAGAATTAATTTTCTAAAAGGAAAAGACTTGATCTTGACATTTCAGCTCTGGCCTCTGTATAAATTTCATACTGATTTCTTAAAAGCCACATCTGTACTGAGGTTGTTGCTGACTTCTTTGCTGGATTATTTGAGGTGTTAGCATCATGCTGCATAAATAGGTCAGTCAGCACGTTTGTATTTAGCAGCTCATAAATCTGCACATGATTTTGCAATTTTCCCCCTAAATTCTCTAACAGAACAGTTGGAAGGACAACTCCAGGTGTTAACAACTAATACACTAAGGTAGGGACACGAACACTGAGGCCGATTGGTTTTGTATTCTTAGATGTACTTGTTTACTCCAACTGCTGTGCTGCCTCCTCAAACTCTGACTCCCTTGTCAGGGCATGTGCAAGGGTTTCATTTTGGTTTCTGTATTATTAGTAAAATTGTTAAATAGTTTCAAATCATATGTCCAAAGTGCACCAATACAACCAAAAATCCTAATCCTGTTTGGAATTTGGCCATATACTTCTAAATGTTAATGGAAAGAATATATTTAATATAATGAGGGTGTCCTTTTCATTCTTCAGACAAACATCTACTACTACTTCTGATTATTTTTTTTTTCTGATTGTTCTTTAATCTCATTAGCACAGGAAACGTTTTCTTATGTGTGATGACTCATACGCTACATATCTCAAAACTGGTCTGTTAGATGTAGTTTCCCAAATAAAAATTTGGCTTATGGAAATGTTATTAACATTGTAACTGAAAGAAATAGCTGGGCTCAGCTCTTAAATTATGACCCACTAGGGATGATCCTTACATCAGTCTGTAAATTGAGTAAATGTGGAAATCTCCTGGAAGTGATAGTTACAAAACCCTACTGTACAGATCTAAAGTGAAAGTATCCTCAGGAACAGAGTTTGAAAGAAATATTCTGTAAAATAACAAATTCCTGTAGATCTGAATAAGAAGGGGGATAATTCTGTATTTGGGGCTGCTATGGATTCTGTTTATTAAAAGCTTATTTTCCCAATCAGAGAACTAAGTTTGATTCAGAATAAATGTGGAAGAAGATCTCTTAAGGAGGGTGTATCTTCTAAATTCTCACTTTTCCAACTATAAGATAAATTGTCACTACTAATACCTGGAAAAAGAGCATAGGTTATTGTTGTTCAGATTCAGACTTCGTATCTTTAAGATGTGTAATATTCTCTGAGGCAGTGAGGGGAGGTGGAGAAGAGGACGATCCAGAAAAATCCTGATCACTGTAGGGCTTAGGAAAAAAAGTGTCCGAAGACCAGCAATATCCAGAGAGCAAGTGATGTAGAATACAGAAAAAATTTGTTATGACAGCTCACTGTGTCTATAGGGGAAAATTCAAATAATATGTAGAATAAGATTTTACAAGTCAGATCAACTAACTAGCAACTAATTTTTGGCCTGCTTTCACATCAAAACTTCTTCATTTCTGTGATACCACAATTCATTCCTGAGATGCTAGAATTTGGTTATGGCTCATCTAAAAATTGCAGGGAATTTACAACTCCAAAATTAGCAATTGTTGCAGATAAGAATAAAAAAATATTTCACAGATTTTATCCCACTACAAGAGCTTGTGCAGCTTTCTAGTGTGGTATTGAGCAAACTGTTTTAAAAACTAAGAGAGAGCTTCTGGTTTAATTGTTTTAATTAAACCGGTTTATGCAGTTCAGAACTAAAGGGAACTTACACGTATTTACAGAAAGTAACCAGGCCTGTAGACCTGTAAAATTAAGCACAAATAACTTCATCATATATAAGCATATACTCAATAGTTTCCTAGATTATGTCCAAAGCTGACAATCATGAATCACCTAACAAAACACTTAATTTCAGACATGCTGTTTGAAATTGCTTTCCAGTGCCACACAGCTGTTGAGACTCTTTTGACTATTTCAAAAGAAAAGGTGTCTTAGTATAATAGCTTACGTGTTACATTAGAGGAAAACATAATTTAAGGCTTAAAGAGTGTCAAGAAGCTGATAATTTAATGTAGGTAGAAAGTGACAGAGTTAAAGCTAGACATAGGGAAGAGAGTGTGTCAGGAAGGACATTTTCCATCTTTTAAACAAGCGAATATTAATACTGTCAGGTGATATGGTGAACCTGATTGATGAGCAGTCTAACCCAACATTGCAGATCATGATTTCCCTTCAAAATTATACTGTAGGGGAACTACTCATCCTAATTTGTTCAACCTGTGTTTCAGAGAACAAATAATGAAACAGTGATTCTTCCTTTTGTGAAGACCCTCTCTGATATATTGCATTTGAGCTTGAAGTTGCTTGAAACCAACTTGCAGATTCCCGTAAACATAATTTTCATTGATAATGACAATAGATATTACATTGTGTAATTCCACCAAGTTATAAATATAGCAGATGCCGTAACAACTCATTGATATGGCAAAATAAGTTCATTTACTGCAGAAGCTGTAGCATCTCTCCACAGTTACAGTATTTCTTACTGTAGTCTCCTCAAAATAAGTTTGATTTTTCTGAGTTGTGCACTTAGAATGAACAACACAATAAATGTAAGTATTAAATATCTAACTGCGGAGTTAGACAGAGAGACTTGCTGTTTAATATTTTGTGATCTATTTATGTTACATCATCAGGATATGCCTGTGGTATTTTGAGGAGTGATGTAAGCTTGCTGTGCCAGCTCTGTCTGTGTTGGATCCGAGCCACGGTAGGATGGCCCTAAGAGAGCTAACTCCTTCTATGTGGCCTTAGGAGAGTTAAGTCCTGTTATGTGGTTTCATGGCTTTTGTCTGATTCAGATAAAGCTCAGTTCTGCCTGAAATATACCATGGTGACATACCCTACACTATCCTCTTCATGCTGTAGACCTAACTCTTGTGGGACAGTCATTATACCTTATTAAAAGAACTTGCTAAAAATACTGAAACCACATCCTTACAAAAGGGCAAACGATCAGGAAAATAACAATGTGGAAATCCAAACACCTTCAAAACAGTGTTATGCAATCATGTGTAATATATGTGACCAATGTTCCTTATAAATAATAAATACAATCTCAGGAAACCAATAGCTGTGTTCATGGAAAAGCTGCTTTCCTGCCTACATGCAATCTGCCTCTTACTTTCTCATCTGAACTTTAAAGTAGCTTTTTGTCTTCTGTGACAGAGCTACTGCAGCTTGCTCATTCATCTTTGTAGCACAAGGCACTCTCAGTTGTAGTAGCCTTCAAGTTTTGAGTACAATCAACAGGAAAAACCTCAATATTAATTTCTCCTAAGTCAAAACCAACCACATTCAAAAATAGCCTTTAAATTTGCTGGCTCATTCTGTGAAACAATCTGGCTGGCTGGCAGTGCAGGTGTTTAAGCATAAGGGCTTCCTGTGGTTTAAGATTTGTCAGGCTCCAGTCGGTGCCCCTAGTTATTTGACAGTGATGTGGCAACGCTAAGTGGTTGCTGATGAACAGGTTTGCAGTGATCATGCCTCTGTTTTCTGTTTTTGTTTTTTGTTTTTATCTTTTCCTCAGGGGAAATCGCTCACATCAAAGAGGTTAACCAGTCTAGTGCAGTCCTACTAAAAGGATCACCTTGTAGCATGGAAGCAGACTCAAATCATTATACATACTTTGTAGCTCACTGATTGCCTGACTCAGAGGACAGTAGAACAAGATGTTGCATGAGCAAGGACCTGACTTGTTTTCTTTTGTGTATACTAAGGCATTACAGACTCCGAGGGACTCTCTAGCCTTTCGATGCCTCCATTTCGAAAACTGTCTGCTCACTTCCTACTTCATATCAAGCTGGATCTGTGTCTTTTTATTTTCTGCAAGCTCAAGTACAGTGAAAAAAAAGCTTCTGCTAGGCACAGTTTATTAAAAAAATACGTCAATCAAAAACTGGAAGAAATGTAAAAAATGCATATATTAATAAATATACATATGGCATCACATTTATTGCACAATAAATTAGCACAGAAGGTTTCATTTCACTGATGTATTCACATTGAGAAAGAAAGCCTGTGTCTTTGTCTGTTGTCTGTATATTATCTGTTAATGTTTCTTGCATTTATTTTTATACCATATTTAAAAAAGAACACCTTTTACTCCAGATGTATTAAAGTTGATCCTTTCTCTGTAAATTTGTGTATGTTTATATTGTTGTTTTATCTTTCATTAAAAGATGCAGAATCTCTTTCCTTTGGGAAGTTTGAGATTTTAATATTGAATCTGAGATTAGCCAAGAGCAAAAACATCCCAAAAGTTACACACCTTGTTCTTTCTTAAAAGTGACATGAAAAGGCATTTTCTTTCTCTCAGTGACACCTAATCAAACACACTTTATTGATAATAATTTACTTTTTATTTTATTTTTTACCAAGCTAGCAGCAGAGAGACCTTTCCAGCTTGCTCATCATCACATAAGCAAACCTTTCTTTAAACTAGACCAGGTCCGCAGTAGTGCAGCCTGCACAGTAATTCAGTCACTACCCAAGACTGGATCAACTGAACCACATGAACATGGCTGAGAACACCAGTGTGTACTTGCTAAATAGGAAGGACAGTGTTTCTTTCTCCTTGCTGTCACTTGTGATACAATGCAACATTTTAAGCTGAAAAGGTAGTGGTTTGGGAATGCTAAGTATACTGTGTGTAGGGCAAACCTTGGGTAGTAATGCAGGAGGCTGTCCTTTTAATTCAGGTGTGCTGTTGTATGTCTACTGCTGAGGTTACTCACACAGAGACCTACTGACAGATTTATGAGAGCCTGTAGCTGTTGCCTGTGGGACAGCAGATATGGAGCTTCTGAAGCTGAACTGAGCTGGAACCAGAGGTCTCTGCCTGGCCTAAGAAACAGTACTTTTGACTGAGAGAGATGACGTAAGGATAGTAGGCAGAATTTCTGAGCAGAAAAGCAATGATGGGAACTTAAGTCAAATGACAAAATGCTGATACCTCCAGGGCATGGTAGGGTGCACAGGACAAACAAACCTTTTTAGAAATGCACAGCATAGACTGAGGACAGCCAACTCTAGTACCACCTGTCGTACTGTCTTTGGATGGATATTGAGAAACAGGAATCTTGTTTCAAAGGAAATACCAAAGCTAAATACACACATCCAAACACACACAAAAAAGTGGGACAGTCACAGATGCAATCAGGCAATAAATTTGAATACGTTAACGCTAGAGCCATCTCATTTAACCTCAGATACCTACCTGAGTTGCTGCCGCTAGGGACAGGGCTCCTACACAGAGCAGCTGTGGGCAGAAGGGACCGGAGCTGCTTTCTGCAGGGAGCGCTCACTTCTCCACGGGCTCTGTCGGTAGCCTGCTGCAGCCGTAGCCCTGACTGCCACATCTCTAAAGAGGTAGTCTGAATGAATCCAGGACCAAACACATCATAAATCACCATGAATGACTGTTCCTCGGGTTTTTGCTTGATTGGGGTTTTTGGAGGTTTTGGATTTTAGTTTGTTCTTTGTTTTCACATGCCACTGTGTTTCTGGTTTCTAGCTAGGATGATCAGTGCTTTAAAGTGTCTCAGTTTTTGTTAGCACAATCCTACTAAGCTTTTATCAGAAAACACTGGAAATGCCCCAGGAGAGCTTGATTTTATCAAGAGCTCCATCTAGGTCAACTCAAAATATTCACAGTCTAGGGAGGCCAGATGAATTTTAATAAATAGCCACACTGAACCCCAGATCTTGTACTCTGAGATTTAATTTTCCTTTTTTACAGAAATGTGAGCTCTGAGGCATGAACTCGGGGCCAGGCAATCCACAGAAATTTGAGCTCTCTTTCAGTTCTCAGTGCCAAAAAGAGATCTTTATTTCCAAACTCCTGCTGCCATCAATTGCATCAGCTGCTACACAGCCTGCTATGCCTTAGGAGTTAACTAATTAGATACCAGTGTTTGCTTTCAAGAATCACTCTCTTCTAATTGCTAATGTTTCACATTTGTGCGTTAGGTATTTCATGCAACTTTACCCAAATATTTTTTGTTGTTGTTGTTTGAAATCACTTTGCAATACCAACTGGCTGATAAAAAGATGTGAAGCAGAGCATTTGTATTCCTGAACCCATTTTGTACTTATTCTAGTTCCTTCCTTTCAATAAACATGAAGTCTCTATTGAATTGATATCTTTTCCTGTATTTGCACAGGATTTAACACAATGCCTGTAAGGTAAAAATACGCATTAGTAATAAGGATTTTAAAGTCAGGGAGCTGTATTAAGGTTTCATTTGAGCGTAGTTTCAAGTGACGCAACTCCACTGGTATACATGAGTTAATCTGTTCTACAAACAGCTGATTTTTAAAAGATTTGTCCATGATCTTTTGATACCTTACCTGATCAATGTCATCTGCCAGTGATACAATATTGGGACTGGAAACTCCAAGTAAGGGCAAACTTCCTTTTACTTCACTGCAGAGAAAAGAGAAATGTTTGTTTCCAAATTTTTATGAAGATGCACTTCTAAGAATTAGGATTAACTCAGATTAAGGCATATTTGTACAACCATCAAACAGCTGAAGTATGATTGTGGTTACACAATGATATACCCATTAGGAATTTCAGTGAGGCCACGAGTCTGCTGAGGAAAAAAGAACTGAGAGGGAAACCCAATCTTAAGGGACCACATTTCTTGTCTCCTGGGGAAGAGACATCAATCAGTGACTCCTGGCTACTCCCAGGAAGCTGGAAAAACTCTCTATTGGGGGATATTGTAATATTCATTAAAATAACCACTTGGAGCTGGGATCTTGAATCTGAGAGTCAAGGTTCATCAGACAGTCCCTTTCTTCATTCCTCTTTGTGCATAAACCAGCTCTTAAGCCTGCAGGAGAAAGAAGTGTTTTCTGGTGCTGCTGCACTCTTGAGATGGTTTTGTGCTCCCAGACCAGTTTAGGAAGGAAAATGGCCAGTGGGAGAGATGGGAGCTTCCCTGGCATCTACTTGAGAACAGCAAAATATTCACCCATTCTTCTGTAAGGTGCAATTAAAAACTGTCCTTCAAACCCACAAAACTGAAACAAGAGGGAAAAGGCCTTAAACAGTGACAAGAGAAATTGCAAAATGCTGAGCTGAAACAGTAGTGGAGACTGGCCAGAAATTAATGAGCTGAATGTGAATATAGGAGTAAGAAATGGGAATTAATTGTGGTGACCAGAACAGAACCGACAAGGGAGGAGAACTGGGGAACTGAGTAATTAGGAGCAAGAGAGGCTGAATGCAGCTGGTGAATTGCCAGCCTGTTGGCCATGGCCATGCAGAGTTGGAATCAAAACCCAAAAAATCAGACAAGACTACCTGTGTCTGGCCCTTTAAAACCCAACAACGACATTTTCTCAGCTAGAATGCAAGTAATAACACATATAGAGAATTGCCTTTTTCAAATTGCACCTCTAAAATTATTTGAAATAATGAGACATACACACCAAATAGTCCTCCAAGAGATAACATATAGGAGGGCAAAAAACAGTTCCAGAAAATTGAGACCTTTAGGAATGCATTTAGGATGGGGTTTTTTTATTTATTTAAAAAAAATTAATGAAAGCCAAAGTGAAAAATTAAAGTAAGAGAGGGCTCTTTTCTTTAACTGGAACGAGGAGCTGGGAGTCACCAGTGATTTGTTTGTGGCTCTTCCATGTATTTATCTTTATGCCAAGTGATTAACAGCTGTTTGAATTTAGATTTTAAAATTACCATCCTTTTAATTTCCTTTCTAGCTTTTCTAGAAATGTTGTGCATAGAACTAACACCACTGGATTTATTAACTTAAATGCATAAAACATAGGAATTTTGGTTAAAAAAAAATTAATAGCTATAGGGACCTATACAAAATGAGGTTTTAATCCCAAAATATTCAAGGGAAATTATTAACAGTTCTATGTCCACAATTCATTTAAGCAAGTTGCTAAGTGGTTGTGAGTCATACCAATGTGCCTTTTGATCTGACTGTGCTGAGCACATTAATGCTTTTGTCTCCTGCGAGTTGAAGATAGGCTGAAGTCCCAAATCAGAGGCAAAGGGGAAGAGAGGACAATCCCTCAGAGGCCAGGCTCCCCCTCTTCATGCTCTTCTGGACTGCGGAGTCCTCAAGTGATGTGTACAAATAAATTAGCTTTGTTTGTACAGACATTGGCTTGAGGATTGCAGTCTCTCCAGACAATCATTATCTCTGCCACTACAAAGTTTTTTTTTTCCTAATATCTAATCTAAGTAATCTCCTTTGCTTCAATTTTTTTTTTTTTTTTTTTTTTTTTTTAACCAAGCTGCTACAATCCCTATAATGAAATATTCCCTACCTTTTTGTTCAGATAGGTAAATGACTTTTACAACCTTACAGCTGCCTTTGGTTTTCTGAAGTGTTGAGTGACTTCATTGCTCTCCTCCAGGTTGTGGGGCATTACAGCTTTCCTGGAGGACATTGCCCAGGCAGGTTTCAGAGTTTCTGCCCAGGTTTTAGGGGAGGAGGGCAGAGGATTACTGTTGTACTTCTGTCTGTACACACAACTACAGTGCTTGCCCTTTTTTGCAGTAGATGGTCACTACTGAATTGTGCCAGTTTATCTGGCATGGTGATGCCCAGATCTTTTGCAGTAAATTGTAGGTGGTTGTTCCCCTTTGTGTGTAGCTGAATCCTCCTGGGTCAGTGAGGCATCTTCAGCTGTCCATTGAGTAGCATCCTTGTTTTTCAGACCATCTTTCTATTTTCCCAAGGTCACTTTTCTTTTTTGATTCTAACCTGTGAAATATTTTTAGTCCCTTTACCTGCTGGTAGCTTTATGTGTGGGCGAGAGTGAGAAATCTGCTGGCCTGATTCTTTAACACAAATGTGTGAATGAGAGTGAGTACCATCATCACTGTTTGCCATAAGGATTCTGTATGTGTAAATTGTTAAGAGAAATTGCCATGACAATAAACTCTGAGAACCTGCTTAAATGCTAGATGATAGTCCTTATTTACAAGTGTGGACATGGACAGGAAATATCAAACAATATTAAGACATGATTGTAAATGTTACATTGTTAGTGGCATTTGCACAATTTTTATTGTACTTTTCCTTTACTCCAAAAATATGTTCTGCTGCATTCACCTTCATTGTCTCTTTTTTTTTATTTGACTAGATTTTGAAATCTATTATATCCATCACAGACGTCAGCTTTCAAAAGAGGTACTATTTACCAC